GTGATGAGACATGGAGAACCTGAAAGGGGAGACCACGGAGGGAAGGGAATGTAGTTGACATGCCGGCAGGTACCGTAGCTAAAGTCTCTGTTTACCTTCTACCTCCGGGTATTTCTGGAGAATCAAGAGCCCGTATCTGAGGGTCGTGCTGGTTGTTTCTGTTCCAGCTACAAACAAATTAATTACTGAGGCCACCAGGTTTTCAGGGGTGAACTCTGACACACCGTTCTTTTTTTCCTGAAGAAACATGAGGCATAATCAGTACCACCAACTTAAATGAGCTTGATAAGAATATAATATATGAACTATATAACAAATAGGAGAGGTTCAAATCGGCAGAAAAGCAGCATGGAACTTGTCCAATGATGAGCACCGCCCCCTAGAGTCAGATACGACTGGACAAATTGTCAAGGGGAACCTTTACCTTTACCTTTAGTCATGTTGTACACCACTGTGTGGCCGCTTTGTGACAGAGTGTGTTGGACTAGATGGGTCATTGGCCTGATCCAGCATGGCTTCTTCTATTTTCTTATGAGGCCAGTTCCTACCATGGTGACCTGGTAGTCATTTCCCATAAATTTAATTATGTTATTTTTAAAATAATAATTTGTTCTGAATCTGTTTTTCAGTTAGAGTTTTAAGCATGGAGTCATGGCCATGGGCACTGTTCTGAATGGCCTGAAGATGTGCTTGTACTCACTAATAAATTATCATCCAGGTGGGCTGCTACTCTGAAATCTGTACATTGCTCAGAAATTGAGTATTTCACCTTAAACCCAGCTTTATCCTCGTTTTGCTTGGCTTGGACTAATACACTTGTTGAAACTACCACCGAGGAAGATGTACACAGTGCTCTTTCTACAAGCGATATAAACTCTAAGAATGAACTTCCACAATTTGTAGGCCTTTCAGTAAAACATACTGTCACAAAAAGAGGATTTCAAGGAAAGTGAGACCGCAATGACTGTAAAAGAAGATAATGTTGTGCCCAGCTTGGATTACACTGATCTTGCTAACTGGCCTAATTATTGCAGTGATAATTTGTGACAGCATATAGTACAATATGGACCATAGCAAGCTATATCACATGGCTTTCCAAAAGACTCAAAAACAAGATTAGTTAATCCTGCCTGCAGTATTCTTTGCAGCACTATCTCTAGGTGTGACACATGCTCTGCCCAGGTCTGGCTGAAAATTCCAAAATCCATATAGGCCATTGTAAATCCCCTTAAGCCAAGGTTCTGTCCACCAGGCACTGAAAAGTAGCCGGGGCATGTTTCAACCCGAACTCCATGACTTTGAATTCATATAATCCTAGGGGACTACAGAATGCACTTTTCTCTTGATCTTTTGGGTTCATTGGCATTTGCCAAAACCCCTGGGTTAAATCTAAACTTGTAATAAAGGGACATTTGCCTATCATCTCTATCATGTCATCTAATCACATGTCATGAAGAGTCGGACATGACTCAACGACAAAACAACAACACATTGCACACAAACACCCCCAGCAAGCTGGGTCCTCATTTTGCCAACCTCAGAAGAACAGAAGGCTGAGTCAACCTTGAGCAGGCTACCTGGGATTGAACCCTGGTGAGCACAGTTTTGGCTGCAGTGCAGCTATTTAGCCACTATGCCAGGAATCTCTATAGAAGCAGAGATTGAAAGGCTGTCCGTGTGTTGGGGTTGCCTCTGGTGTGGACTCCCTGCCTTGGCAGGGGGCCTGGACTCTGTGACCTCCAGCTCATCTACTGTGATGATTCTCCTTCAAAACGCATTCCAAGGTCGGTGCAAACGGGACTGAGTGCTATTATGGAAAGCCATGCTGGAAAAATACAGCTTTGTAGGCGTATCCTGTAAGATTGGGAGTCTGTGGAGAGCAGTTGCTCCACCCCTGCTACTGACCTAGAGACATCCTCCCCACACACCTTGGGGTCCTTGAAACCACCCTTTCCTTCCTACTGCTTTTGGGAACGCATTTTTATGACCATGTTCCCAATAATGCTAGGAAATATGAGAGGCAGTGGGAAAAGAGGAAGACCAGATGCGAGATGGACCGACCCCCTAAAGGAAGCCACAGGCTTGAGTCTGCAAGAGCTGAGTGATGGCTCCTTCATAGGGTCACCTTGGGTCACAGGCGACTTGATGGCGTGTCACCACAACATATGGCCGATTCATTAAACACTTCAAACTATCAAATATATTTTAAGTGCACAAGTCAGCCCGTAAGCTCCCCTCCTAGCAGCTCAAAAGCCCAAATGACCAGAAGAAGGCTTGGGAAGGAGAGGTCAGCAAAGGCTAGTCTACCACTTTGATCGTCTGACCTCTACTTCCTTCTTGCATGTGTTGCTAGACTGACATTTTCAGACTCGGTCCATCAGTCTCATCGTCATTCTGACTTCTGTTCCTGTTTCCTAAGAGATTACCCACCTACTGATCCACCACAACACATACAGTACTCTCCTGCTTCCTCCTCATGTTGTAAGTGTACACAAGCATAAACGTATGTGCTCCTGACTGAAAATGGCATCTGGGGCTACACTCAGATTCAGGTGAGAGGAAGCAGAGAAATCCTGGCAATCTATGAACTGGAATGGATGTCTCCTTTTCTTTCTCCCAAGGACGCCAGGTGAGTAGAGCTGTGTGCCAGGCTGGCAAATAGGGTTGCCTGGTTCTCAAGGCACAAGATGATGCCTTGGGACTCTTCTCCAGGCCTCCCAAAGGGGAGCGCCAGGTCAGGGCAAGCCATGCCGGTGGAGGAGGTGGCAGCGGAGTTTCTGTGTGTGAGGTGCGTTTAGCCCACCAGCCCCTGGCATTTCCCTCCCTAGTGCCAAGGCTGCTCGGCTGCATTCCGAGTGTTTGTGGTACCACTTAGGCTGCAGGGCCAGCCTCCCAACCTGGGCACTCGGTCCACTGACGACCAACCCTCTTAGCTTCCCCCCAGACCAAGGAGCTCCCCTCCAACGCGTGAGCCCACGACCGAGATTCTCACTCCCTTGGCCCGCGGGCTCTGCCTTCAAACTTACCTGCTCCATGCTAATAAGGAAGCAGTCGATAAAATCTCGGGTGGTACTGGGATCCAGAGTCTCCTTATGCTGTTTCACCGCTTGGGAAACAAACTCTTTTAATTTTTCAGCATTTTTGCTTACTCTCTGGTGAGGCCCAGGAATGAGGTCCATGAAAGATGGGAGGATGTTGGCCATCTGAAAGGCAGGGCAGAAGAGACACATCCTGGTTATTGGTGTCAACTGTTCCTTTTACCTCCAGGGTGCTTGCAAGAGAGCACCTGCTTCAGCTCACTGAGAAACTGACTGGAACATCCCAAGCCTGAACAAGGTCCGGTGGCTTTGGGCCCATTTCGGTGGCCCTCATAAGCATGGCTACAACTTTTCTAGGTCTCATGGAAGGGACAGGGGAGGAAGTTCCACAAAGTCTCCTTGGTCCAGCGGGAAAGCACACAGATCTACCCAATATATCTTGAACTCAAAAACCGGGTGGTGAAAACTCAAACCCTGCTTGACAGGGAACTTGCCAGCCTCTTCCCGTGTGCCTGGCCTTTCTGAGGGGCCTGGCAGTTCCAACAGAAGACCCTTCCGTCTTCCTCTCTGTCGTTCTTCTCATGATGTCCAGGTAGACCATCAACCCTTTGGGGGCAGGAGCCCCTCCCCTCCCCATCGCTCAGGACCACCTATGTGTGGGACCACAGGGGAGCCCTCTAGGCGCAAGACCAATAAAAGGTCACGCGGCAGTGCCTTTTCGACCACGTGGATGAGGGTCTTACCTGTCCCCAAGGAGAGCTTGCAATCTTTAAGTTGTCATTGAACTTGTCCAGGAGGGCTAGAAACCTCTCGTCGTCGTAATCAAAGTGGGCACCAAAGACGATGGAGCAGATGACGTTGGACGTAGCACAGCTGAGCAGGAAGGTGGGGTCGAAGGGCTTCCCTGGAAGAAGAAAAAGACTCCACTAGCCTCGCCCAGCCAGCCAGAAACTACAGCCTGCTCCTCCCTTGAAATGGTAAGTAAATCTTTATTGCATTATTAGCAGATCATTGCAAATGTTAAAAGAAGTTAATACAATGTATTAGAGAAACAGTACTCGCGCCCTCGGTAAGAGAGGGCAGGGCGCGAAAATGCTGCGTGCGGCCATTTTGGCCGTCCGGAGGCCATTTTGAAACCGCTGAACAGCTGGTCCGCGGGCGTTGCAATGCGAGTTTTGCCCATTGTGGTGGTTGGGATGCCTTCGCATTAGCGATCCCAAAAAAGGGATCGCTATACAAATTCATCGTTATACGGTGCACTCGTTAAGCGAGGCACCACTGTACAATGTATTAGAGAAACAGTACCACCATGACATAGATATCAGTAAAATGCTGGAGCCGATTTTATATTCACATTTCAAGATTTAATTCCTAAGATAGTTAATACTGAGATTAATTCCATAAAAATAACAGATCATACTTTGATGTCAATGGAGATTGAGATTAAAAAAGAGTATAAAGACTCTAAAAGATGGAGAATGGCTATTAACATTTCCCAGTGCCCAGAGGTACCCCTAAAATAGATATTAGCAAGCATGTTTATGGCATAATTTCAAACCTAAATTGTTTAGGATTAGGGTTAGGGTTAGGGTTACTTTGTATATATACTCTCTGTATATTATAGGAATAATATTCATTCAATTCCCTTAGCAGTTTACTCTTTGGCAGTCAACATTCTCTGAATTGTTGCACATTCCACTATGGTCACAGAACACACCACTGAAGAAAGAGAGACCAGTACCCAGAGGTACCCCTAAAATAAATATTAGCAAGCATGTTTATGGCATAATTTCAAACCTAAATTGTTTAGGATTAGGGTTAGGGTTAGGGTTACTTTGTATATATACTCTCTGTATATTATAGGAATAATATTCATTCGATTCCCTTAGCAGTTTACTCTTTGGCAGTCAACATTCTCCGAATTGTTGCACATTCCACTATGGTCACAGAACACACCACTGAAGAAACAGAGATCTACCGGTAATAAACCTTCCTGCCAACTAAGGGCTTGGCTAGATCGCTGAGTTGGAGATGGCTGATTCTGTGTGAATAGGGTCCCTTACAGTCGCTTAGATCCCACAAGCAGAGATTGGGTGGTTTCAGGTCTGAAAACCATGCTGCACATTAAGAGAATTTGCTTAGAACAATCAAGAGTTTTTTTCCTTTCTGAAGGTAAAGGTTTGTCAAGTTCATTCAGTGGGTGGGTGGCCAGCCAGTTGGTCCTTTGGAGATTCCATTGAACATAAATGAAAAACCTCTGCTCGGCTTTCCTTCGGATGGGAAGGGAGACATAACTCTCCATTTCTTTTTCATGGTTGCTGACTGACACAGCGCATCAGTGATGCTTCGACAGGACTTTAAAGAACCTTTCAAAGCAGCCCTGATCTCCTAGGTTTTAGGCAGGCCCCTTCTCAAGAAAATGACTGAGGGGAGGGGTCAATGGTCCTGACCTACCTTTTGTGTCCTGGAGCTTTTCCAGAAGATACTGGGCTTCCTCCTGGATCCTCTCCTCGATGCTGTTCTCCCCCATCCCGAAGTTGCGCAGGGTGGTGAGGGCAAAGCGCCGGAGCACCTTCCATCTTTCCCCATTGCTGAAGATAATCCCTGGAACCAGGGAGAAAGACCATACTAAGCATGCGGATCTGAATGTCTGAATCCCATTTCCTATATTATTTGCCAACAGGGTCACTCCTTTTATCTTGGAAGGCCATATTTCCCTAAAAGTGACTCTACGGAGAACCTGCTCTCCTACTGTGCCAGAATTCCCCAGACTGATCAAAGGCAATACCACGTTAATCATGCAACCATCTTTAGACCAAACAACAACAAAAATAAGACACAGTTGCACCTTACAGACTAGTTTATATTTCAATGTGATCTTTTCTGGTTATATCCAGAAAATCATTAAAAAGGTGACTGAAAATAAAACAGCCAGCATTATAATGCCATTGTACAAAACGATGGTAAGGCTGCAACTAGAGTATTGCATACAGTTCCGGTCGCAGCTCCTAAAAAAAGACATGGTAGAAAAGGTGCAGAAGGAAGCGACTCAGACGATGACTGGGCAGGGGCACCTCCCTGATGAGGAAAGGCAACAGCCTTTGGGGGCTCTTGGGTCTAGACAAAAGGCACCTGAGGGGGGCATTATGGAGACATATAAAATGATGCAGGGGATGGATCAAGTGGCTAGAAGGAAGCTCTTTTCCCTCTCACACAATACTAGATCCAGGGGTTTCGTTTAGTCGTTTAGTCATGTCCGACTTTTCGTGACCCCATGGACCAGAGCACGCCAGGCCCTCCTATCTTCTACTGCCACCCGGAGTTGTGTCAAATTCATGTTGGTTGCTTCGCAGACACTGTCCAGCCATCTCATCCTCGGTCGTCCCCTTCTCCTCTTGCCATCACACTTTCCCAACATCAGGATCTTTTCCCGGGAGTCTTTTCTTCTCATCAGATGGCCAAAGTACTGGAGCCTCAGCTTCAGGATCTGTCCTTCCAGTGAGCACTCAGGGTTGATTTCCTTTAGAATTGATAGATCCAGGGGACATCCATTCAAATGGAGTGTAGGGACAGTGAGAACCGACTAAAGAAAACATTTCTTGACCCAACGTGTTGTTAGTCTGTGGAACCCCTTGCCACAGGATGTGGTGATGGCATCTGAGTAGATGCCTTGAAAAGGGCATTGGGCAGATTCCTGGAGGAAAAGTCCATCGCAGGTTATAAACCATTATGGGGATGTATAATATCCAGGCTTCGAAGGAAGTTCCCTCCAAATGCCAGATGCAGGGTTGGGGGATCAGGAGACAGATATCTAGTTGTCTCCTGTGCTCCCAGAAGCATCTGTTGGGGCCACTGTGAGATACAGGGAGCTGGACTAGATGGGCCTTTGGCCTGTTCCAGCAGGGCTCTTATGTATTTCTGTTCTTATCCCTTTTACTTCATCTCTGGAATTAAAAGATTAAGGGTTCTGTCATTCCCCAGATCCATTCCAAATCTCTCTCTCTCTCTTTTTTTTAAAAAAAGCAAATTTATTTCTGTAGGATAAAATATCACATATAGTATACAAATAAAGCCATCTTAAAACAACATTATCTTGTGAAACAGTTCAATCCTCAGTTAAAACATGATCATTATAACTAGAGAGGGGGATGAATAAAAAAAAGGCAATTTGTTTTGATTCGTGATTTATCAAGGTTAACAAATCAATTATTATGAAATTACAAATATTCTTTGACAAATTGATGAATTGATTCAGCAATTCATCTTCATTTTAAAAGCCTGTATAACTGACCACCAACCACCTAGAGACAGCAAATTGCAGGGAAGCTTCATCAGAAACTTTTTTACAAGTACCGAATCTTTCGTGAACATTGGATAACAAAAGGCTGAATAATGTAGTCACAAGGAGGGCACCCCCAGGAAAGCTCCCCCCAGGGACTTAGAGAATCCAAAGCTTCCTATGTTTTTCCCCCAATAAGCATGCCATGTTTGGTGAAGAGTGGTTATCGGACATCCAAGTTATTCACTCATAAATTGGGTCCCTGCAGGATAGCTTACCACGATAGCTTATTTTGCCCCAAAGTAGACCGTGGCCCCATTGGGCACTGCAGTAGTTGGCAACGGCAAAGTAGAATGTGTTGCCCCATCGGTCACCGAGGAGTGGCAGCAGGAAAATAGGCTTTTTGCCCCATTGGGCACCGATTTTCTAGGCTGGATCAGTTGTGGGATTTGGACAT